TTTCCCAAACTCCGGCTTCGTTCCGTAAACCGGTTTCGGACATGGGGTTTGCCATAGAGCTGGATCCGGTATTGGAGTGAAGCTAGGATTTGGAAAACCTCGCTTGTAGCTCACTCGACGCATGTAGTCGTGTTCCCTAACGTGGCGCACTTCGAAGCTTACCCAACTTTCCTCGTGTAGTGTTGCCAAACCTCTTTGTTGATAAACCTCAAATTCATGCAGTGAAATGCTGGTACTTTTACCTTATTAATGTTTACTATTTAACCTCTGTGAACAATTTCGGTTTCATAAAATTTAATCCGAAATGCAAAAACGGTCGCGTCCGGAAATTGGGCACAAATTGGCGGAGTGTTCCCTAACGTGGCGCACTTGAATAAATCTCAGAAAAATCCAAATTAACATTTAAGAATTTCTGTAAACTTGATAAATTCAGATAAATCATTATTATATTTACTTACAAACCCAGCCAGATGTTTGTCAGAAAATTATTTTCTTATTTTCGGGGCATTTTCAAAGGGTTCACTTTGCACTTGAAAATAAAATCGGAAAATCACGCCAAAATATTTTTTTCTTTTAACTTGTAACGGGTAAATAAACTCGCGATTTATGAACGGGAGTGTTAAGAACTTGATGAAATTTCACTTTCTTGGAAATTTCAGTTAAAACTTTTGCTCTAGCTAGGCGCTACAGGCGAAAAATGAAAGTGCGCCACGTTAGGGGCCGCGCCACGTTAGGGTACATGAACAATACTGTCTAGTCTCCGTTCAAACGGCTCGCTGTTTCGCCACTCGGTTAACTACCGCCGCAATCTCTGGTTAATATTTGCGGAACCACCAACTTGGAAAGTTGGAAAAGCTGGGGTGGAGGGGTTGGGCTGGACGCTAGCCCAGTGGACTCCTCCGTTGTGAACAATGCAATGTAGACGACGTCCAACCTGGGCTAGGCTGGACGCCAACTGACTATTGAGGGCACTGTTATGAATTGCACAGACTTGCACAACAAATACACAACAACCAGACACTATGCCACTGCCAGATGGAGCAAAATTGTTGTTCACAAACATGACAAAGTGGAAGGAACTGAAGGTGATATTCGATAAGGAAATAGCCGCAGCTGTGGAGAATGAAGCGATTTTGGCAGAAGGAATCCCTCGGTTGGACTGGGGTTATCGTGATGATGCTAGCTCTTGCTAGATAGAGTGTTCGAGATAGGTCAGCAAATTATGTCGGGTGGGATTCGGGTGTTCAAAATCATGGTCATGGTTACTCCTTGCCCATAAATGTGGCCTATTTACTGGACTGCCTCCGTAAACATAGGCCACACATCCTCATGTACAAAAAACGTGTCGACTTTGCCAAATTTTGATTTTCACATTTAGGCTTACTTTGTAGATTTTTTTTGCTTTAGAAGCATTCTGACCCTCTATATGGGCTTATCAGAAAGTGCTGCCTTTTTCAGATGTTTAATTTTTGTGAAATTTCATGTTGCAATTTTGATAGGCAAACGTGTGCAAATGTATCCGGAAATTTCACGAAAAATGGACATCTGAAGAAGGCAGCACTTTCTGATTAGCCTATATAGAGGGTGAGAATGCTTCTAAAGCAAAAAAAACGTAAAAAGTAAGCCTAAATGTGAAAATCAAAATTTGGCAAAGTCGACACGTTTTTTGTACATGTGGATGTGTGGCCTATGTTTACGGAGGCAGTCCAGTAAATAGGCCACATTTATGGGGCTAGGTTACTCCTAGAACTATGTAAATAGGCCACATTTATGGGGCTAAGAACTATGAGGCTCCACGCAGTGGAGCCTCATAGGTTCAGAACCCCGCAAAATTGTTGTCAGCACAAAACACTAATTAAGTACAAAAACGTCCATCCCAACCAAGCTTTTTCCCACAGAACCGCTGCACAGTTTGCCCCTAAACTCCGTACAATACCTCATGACATACTCACGTTATGTGCACCCAACAAACTTCGATGGATTCTGTCTGTTTTTCAGCAAAAATGATGAAAAATATGCCCTTTCCGCACTGAGCCAACCTAACACTTGAAACGAGCACGCGCGCAGAATGATCGCAGTCATTTTCGGTTCGATCGCTCGGAGCGCGCCGCGGGGGGGTACGTACTTGCACTTGTACGCATGCGCATACTATCGTTCCGCTCCTAATACATTATACCCCCCGCACGATATAGATACCTTAAGTTTTGGGACTCTCATAGTCATACACAGTATTGAGAGTCCCAAATTTTCGGACTAGTCCATCATGTACAAAAACATGTCGAACTTTGTCAACTTTTGATATTCACATTTAGGCCTAGTTTGTACTTTATTTTTGGTTTAGAAGTTACTCACCATGCTCACTTTTGTCATGTTTGTGCTGCCTTTTTCAGATGTGTAATTTTGTGAAATTTCATGTTGAAATTTTGATACGCGAACGTGTGCAAACGAATCTGGAAATTTCACGAAAAAGAGACATCTGAAAAAGGCAGCACTTTCTGATTAGGCTATAAAGAGGGTGAGTAGGCTTCTAAAGCAAAAATAAACTACAAATTAAGCCTAAATGTGCAAATCAAAATTTGACAAAGTTTGACATGTTTTTGTACATGGTGGAAGTGTGGCCTTTATTTACGGAGGTAGTCCAGTAAATTGGCCACATTTATGGGGCTAAGTTGGACCCAACTTATCGCCTTTGTAACATTTGGACATGGTCTGGCGATAGTGGGGTCCAAGCAATTCCCGTATATGCCGAGCAACACAATTTTCTCTTTTGTCCCAAAAACCCAACATTGTCCCACAAAAACATCAGATTTCACCCTCAAAACGGCCTCCAAATTACTAGATACGCCACCTGAGGTTCAAGTAGACATCAATAATTAAGATGGTTGTACTGAAGTTTACTTACGATCCGGAAGAAAAGTGAAATTTCCCATTCAATCCCAACAGCTCCCCTTGCGATCGTGAACACGTTCAATTTCAGACTCATGTTAATGTTTTGAACGATGTGATGTGGTCTTCATGCCCAGCGTACATTGTACATTCGATGGTCCCCATATCCCGAGTGCGATTCCATTACCGAGTGCAATGCATCGATTATGATAATCAGTAGACTGGATCTCATTTGTAAACACAAGTACATTTCGAACGATAATAGAGAGTCGGGAACTAGGACAGCTTTTATGGGCGGAAACCAATTCAAGCTAGTTCCCGATTGTCTTTTACCATTTGAAATCCACTGGTGTTCACAAGCGAGATCCAGTCTACTCATTATCATAATCGATGCTTCGCGCTCGGTAACGGAATCGCACTTGGGATATGGGGACCATTGATTGTACGCTGGGCATGAAGACTACATCACGTCGTTCAAACATTAACACGAGTCAGAAATTTAACGTGTTCATGATCGCGAGGGGAGCTCTCAGAATTGAACGGGAAATTTCACTTTTCTTCCGGATCGTAAGTAAACTTCAGTACAACCATCTTAATCATCGATGTCTATTTGTACCTCAGGTGGCATATCTAGTAATTGGGAGGCCATTTTGAGGGTGAAATCTGAATGTTAAAAAGACGATAAGTTGGGTCCAAGCATGGTCCAAGTTACTCGGACTACTGTAAGTGTAGTCCGAAAATTTGGGACTCTCAATACTGTGTATGAGACTAGTCCCAAAACTTATGGTATTGAAAACATGTAAAGCAAGAAAATAGACTGGCACCTGAAACAACCAGTCCAACACAGCTTCAGTACTGCATCAATCAACCATGCCAAAAGAATTTAAGAAACATGTGGCATGAAGCGGGAACTAGTCTCAATTTACTACACATTTCTCCGTAGTCAAGCCACCAGACTATTGACACTGAATGAAGAGGTCAGTTTTTTCAAATAGTTGGACCATATGGTCATGATGGTTGGACATGTACCAGTCTAGTATTTAGTCCCATTTTGAAATCACTTGACTTCCCTCTCATGTGCAAAACATTGAAGAAAAATCTCCTTTAAAAATTGAATTGAGTCTCCAACTTGGTTGGTGAAATACTGAGGACATTTTCTTTGCCCGTTTTGTTTTGCACGTTTCAGAGCACTCCAGAGCCCTGTCTGCTGTAAGTGTAACTTAGCCCTAGTCCTAGCCCAGGTTGGACTCTGATGTGTACACGCAACGGAGTCCAGGGTATGAATCTCTCCTGCCATAGCGAAAAAAGTTTTGACACATTTAGTATTAGTAAATATTGCTTGAGATTATTTTTGCTTATTGAATTCTTCTCATTGTCTTTGGGTAATGTATTTTTTTTTTCATTAGAAAATTGATGTGACAGGACACACAGTGGATGATTTGGTGAACAAGACAATAGAATACCTTCAGCCCAATATAGGTAAGAACCAAAATTGAAACATCATTGACGCTAACCTTCCCAAATCCTCCAAAATCCTATTTGCAAAATGGAGGCTTTTGCAGGATTGAGGCTATGGCAAAAATGTGTGCCTGATTTATGAGGATGCACTGTGTCAAGGTCTTGGGCCGGATCTTGTGTTGTTCCCTGAGCTCAGGGAACCAGACTAGCTGGCTTGCATCCATTCACGGATGTGTAACCGCTTGCCAAAAAAAATGCGGACTAAATAAATTGGGTAAATTGGGGCACTATTTGGCAAAATCAGTTTCTTCCAACGATGGTCGGCCGACCACTCTTTTGAAATCAATACAAAAATTTCACTTTTCTTAAAAATGACAGCACACCAGGTGCCATGATTTCACAGGATGTCTGAGACTGTCATTCACCTACAGTCAAGTAAAGTATTTCATAATAATTTGGTAGTTTTGTTTGTTGATGTTTGCAAATGTCGTATATTACCTTTAATTGTAACCTTTGGAATAATTACGTTTGGGGTGACTATAGAACTCCGGTTTGAATCGGGTCTAAGTATTCACTTCAAACAAACCAAATAGAGATAGATCTTCTATTTGTGTGCTGACCCTAATCAATCGTATTGTCTTTCCTGAACAGTCTCCAGAGCCATGAGTAAAGTCCGTGGTCAGAACAAGGGAGGAACCAAGCCTCAACAACCCGTAGGATTCCTGGGAGAAGTCATGCTGAAGAACGGCAGAGAATTAGGAGAAGATTCAACGTTTGGTGAGCAAGCTTCAAGATGTATTCTCTTTCCTTCTGTGGTCGACTGATCAAAAAGCTCTCAAAAAGGTGCTCTAATCAGTGTTCCAATCCACCAACATAGTACCATGAGTATTGTGTAATTTATGTAGTGCCCAACACTTCAGATATATGCAAGGCCAAGTAAAGAAATAAACCAGTTTCTCGTAGCTGCCCGCTGCCTTTTTTGCACCCACTTTTTATTTTTTTATTTTTTTCTTATTTATAAATGCATGCATTTGCAATATACAGGTGAGTCAAAAAAGACGAAACCCGAATGGCAGGACCAATATTTGAATAAAGTTTTGCCTGTAGCACTTTCCAAATCTAGGATATGAAAGCCCAATTATTAAACATTCTTTTAGTACAAGAATCATTCAAATCACTCATGTACTTTTCAAGTTGCTTAATTTTCAACACAAACACTGTTTTAAAAGTTCTGTCCACGGATCACAAAAAGTGTTTTTTCAGTAAAATGAAAACAATTCGCATGCATCCCTGTGAGAATTGTTATCACTTTGCTGCAAGAACACTTCCTATTTTTGTGATATGTGGACAGAACTTTAAAACGGTGGTTGTGTTCAAAATTTCGTAACTTGAAAAGTACATGAGTGATTTGAATGATTCTTGTACTAAAAGAAAGTTTAATAACTGGGCTTTCATATATCCTGGATTTTGAAAGTGCTACAGGAAAAACTTCAATCAAAAATTGGTCCAGCCGTTTGTGTTTCGGTTTTTTTACTCGCCCTTTATTTGGCAAATTTGTCAGTTGTCTGTTTATTTGTTTCCAACAATATTGTAGCTACATGTACTAGTACAGCAGATAGGCGATGGGATTGTGCCTTTGATGATACAAGCATGGCATTTGGCACACAGTCAGAGTATGTCACGAGAAAGATATTTGGCCATAGGGCCATCGCAGATTTGTCCTTTGAACAAATATAGACAAATCCGATGGCAGCCATTTTCTGCGGTGGCGCAATGTTTGCGTGAGTCGCACTCAGGTAGGGCGCGTGCTCTAGGCTCCTTCAACCAATAAGAATACCAAAATGAGCGCGCGCCTCGTCTTTAAGAACGCGTTCAGTATGCGTGTGAGACACCACCGCAGTAAAAACCTGCTAATTCTGGTCGCCAGATTCCACTATAGGTAGAAAAATGACCAATGGCAGCCATTTTGAAAATTTTGAATATTGCTTGTTAACTGGATTTTTTCAAAGGGCAAATCTGTGATGGCCCTTTAATAAGACATACTCTGACTGTGTGCCAAATGCCATGCTTGTATCATCAACTTTAGGCACAATTCTCTCAAATATTTCCGCTGAATAATGCATTTCATAGACCATCCCAGCTCCCGTGGTATACATAGCCCAGCTGTTCTCATTTTGGTGGAAACATCAGAACAATAAAATCTTGCCTTTTGTTTTTTTGGATACAGGTACGGCAATGGTCGAGCGAATTGCTGAGGCAACTTTCTGAAGTCAAGGACGCCTTCGATCTGAACGTCAGACAGAACTTCCTGGATCCCCTGGATCATCTCAAGAACAAAGATCTGAAGGAGATCAGCGTGAGTTCCATCTTACAAAATCTAACATCATCCATTATCTGGTTGATACTGATAGAATCAGGACTGTGTTGCACAGCCACGTTCGGGGAAATTCAAGCACAAATTAGGGAAAATGGAAAAGCATAAAGCCACTTCAGAATTAAGTGGCTACGGCTAATACATTAGTTGCACCTATGGAAGCAGATAAAGCCACTTCCCATGTGGGCTAGTGCTAGTCGTAGCCATGTCATTCAGACATGGCTAATGCTCACTAACAGAAGGGTTAACCAGGGTTACTGGAAATTACATTCTCATATATTGCGTAATCCGGCGAACAAAATTAGAGGCCATTTTTGAGGTCGCGCCACGGCTACGTGCACGCGTTCTTAAAGACGAGGCTCACAAATGTTTTGGTCGATTGAGTCCGGAGTGCGCGATTCACGTGAGCCTAGTGCCTCCGCATTTATCCTGAGTTATCCTGTTCACAGACAAACCAAGGCCGATGAAAACATATACCTCACCTCATGGTGGAGGGAAAAAAAAGCAGACGGGAAACCATTTTTTGTTTTACTCTGTCTAATAATGCATTTCATAGACCATGCATTTCATAGACAATCTCAGCTCCCAGGGTATACTTAGCACAGCTGTTTAGTTTGGGTGGAAACAACAGAACAATAAAATGTTGTTTTTTATAGGTATAAAAAAAAAACTGTTTTGGTTATTTTTTGGATACAGCTACGGCGATGGTCGAGATGGGAGAATCACTGAAGCAACTTTCTGAAGTCAAGGGCGCCTTCGATTTGAACGTCGGACAGAACTTCCTGGATCCCCTGGATCATCTCAAGAACAAAGATCTGAAGGAGATCAACGTGAGTCCCATCTTACAGAATCTGACAGAATTTGGTTGATTTTGATAGAAGCAGGACTGTGTTGCACAGCCACCTGCGGGGAAATTTAGGCACAAATTGTGGCCAATCTGGAAAAAAATTGATAGAAGACCAGTGATCGATTACTAGTTGATTTGGGTTGTAACTTATGCCTGTGTACTTTGGGTCATTCGATAAATTTGGGGTCCACTTTTTTCCTGTCCCTGTTACATCTGACATCTGTGATTTTATAATTCTGATACACTCCTTAATGCAGTCATCCTCCAAGAGTGATTATGAATAGCAAACTACCTACACAACGAATACAAAATTGTTAAAAGTCATTTTTAACCCTAACTCCCTGGGCATTTTTGCGATGATGCTGCAAAATCCTCCAACTGCCTCCATGTCAAAATTGCATGCAGCCTCAATCCTGCAAAATCCTCCGTTATTTCTTGAATGTGATCCGTGGAAGAATGATCACTGCCTCAATCCTACAAAATCCTCCAGCAATCACTGTCAATATGTTGAGGCAGAGCCAGTGACATCCTGGAGCAGTGCGGAGGACTTCAAGTATAATTTATGCACAGCTGAGCATAAACAAACACAAGGCCCGGCCCAAGACCTTGACACACTGCATCCTGCAAAATCAGCCACACATTTTTGCCAATTAAACAGCCTCAATCCTGCAAAATCCTTCATTTTGCAAAGAGGATTTTGGAGGATTTGGGAAGGTTAGGGTTAATGCAGTCGTCCACCAAGAGTGATTATGTGAAGCAGACAACCTACCCAACAAATTGTTGAAGTCATTCTTAATGATACTTGAACAGCAAATGACAACGTTCAGAGATAACAGGAACTCGAAAATTGTCACACTTTGACCCATAATTTATATAAGGAGCCTTACAGCAATGTGCAAATGTCTCTTGTCAAACAGTACATTAACTTTCTCCCCAATGTTTGATTTCTACAGCACCATCGGAAGAAGTTACAGGGGCGACGTCTTGACTTTGACTACAAAAAGAAGAAGCAAGCAAAAGGTAGGCGACAGATTATCTCAACTCCATCATATCAAATCATCTTACATTACTAAAATATCATAACTAAAACAAAAACAAACCATCAGACTTCCAAAGTGTTATTGTTAACCTGACCTGATTTATCATTATTAACTGTCATAGAGTATGTCCCAAAAAAGTGTCTGTGAAAAAAAGTCTGATGTGGTTTTGGATTGGAATCATTTGCCCTTGAGCATTAAACTGAGGTCTTGCCATGATGACTGATAGCCAGGCAAATGATTCCAATCCCAATTGCAGCCCTTTTCACAACATGCATGATTTTACACAGCTTACTTAACACAGCACTGAAATTGATTAAGGCAAGGAACTTGGTCACAGTGTCCCAAAATGTTGTTGTGATCAATTGACAAGTGTGCAGTGATGCGTGACTGAAATTAAATGAAACTCATCGGGGTTGAGGCCAAGGCTAAGGAGTATCTGCACAATCAAACTTTTTCAAAATGGACTTCATGGTTTTGTATTTTTAAAAAAAATAGTCAGACGGACATTTCTTTTGGACATACTGTATAATGCGAATAATATTTGTTTGCACTAAAAGAAAAACAAAAATTGCATTTAAAATAGTGTTCCTTGCAAGCCTTCAATTGTGGTTTAGATTGTTTGAGGACTTAGTTTAGACAGTCGAGAAAAAGTTTGAACTTTGTGTCAACCATATTCACTCAGCGGCCAATATCTGATCTGCCAAATATTGTTTCCAAAAGTGGATATTGTCATCGGGAACTGAACTTTGTTACTTTGATCGATAGGCCTAACTGTCTCTAATAGAAGAGTTTAATCATGAAATCCTGTAAATTGACGTCGATATGAAGGAATTGTCCACACCTTTGAATTCAACATCATTTTTACCACTCACTGTATTAATGTTTTACTTTCATTTTTCACTGTGCATCATCTACATACTCATCAGCATTAGCAGGTTTGGTCGGTATGTCAATAGTCTAGTTCCTAGACTCGTCATGAATGGTCCCTTATTGTGCTTAGCACCCATAGTATACACCCATAGCTCAGTACACTTTTGAACTAACAATAAGCGAAATTGTCTGTGAGTTTCAAAAATGAGAATAGATAGTGTTGTTGACCTTTGTTAATGCACAATATTACCTTGTACTTTCCCTACAACAATATTGTGAATGTGTGTATGTAGAATGCTAGATGCTTAAGATTTACAACTGTGATAAATGTCCATGTAATAGATTAACCTCAGTCCACATGTACGTGCAGGCTTTTAAGTATTCCTACTTTTCCTAGATATTTTTTTTTTTTACCGTGCTCCATTTTTTCCTACTTTTGTCTTGATTTTTGTCCCACAACTCCGAAGAAATTTAATCTCATTGAAAACTTTCATGGCAGTGTTACACACTGTCAAATCACACAATGAAGGGCTTGGGCGCAGGAGTACTGCAACTGTACTTCCAAGAGCTTAGTTGAGGATGGAGCACAAGTGTTGTGAGTACAGAACATGCCAAATGAGGCTTATGATGCTGTGGACGTGGGCGAGCATCAACGAAAACTACCCCAGAAAGCCCACTACAGTCCTACTTTTATCCTGAGTCTGTCCTCCAAAATCCGACTTTTGTCCTGTTGGTTTTTGTAAATTTTGACCTTACTTTTCTCCTACTTCTTCACCTGGGTCTGCTTGAAAGCCTGTACGTGTATCGTACTATCATGACGTTCTATTTTGAAGTGTGTTTTAAATCAAATTAGGTTAATTGCCCTTCAACGACGTTTAAATACTGTATACTCGGTGGGTAACACACTGAGTACACAGTGTTTAAACGTCAGTGAAAGGCAAAACCTGATTTGATTTATATCACCCCGACGCAAAATTCCATCTTATAAAAGTGTGTTTTAGTTAGTTAATCAGTTACATGTACCTAATAAACGTCTACTCCTTCAGGATTGGTCTAGACAGCCTCCGGGATAAAAAAAACGACCAAACTGAATACAAAGGAATCCAACGGCTGTTTAGATTAATGGTCTCCATGCGCAAACAGGAGAGGGAGCTATTTGATCACTTTCGATAGTCCAGTGGATGGGGCACACTACGTATAGCGCATGGTACCCTGACTACTTTCATTCCCAATATGCACAAAGCCATAGCGTCTACCTGTGACGTCAGGCGTCGTTGGCAATGCATTCAAATGTCTCTCCCAGTCGTCTCCCCGACCCCAACTCTCCCTTTCTTACCGTTGAGGGGGTACTTGTGCGAAGAGCCCATTGGTCTATAATCCTATGATGACATCATGTTTCTATTTTTACTTTCCATGTACCCGTAAACACGTTTTCGTCGGTTCCTCTCAGCAGCAGGTGGTATGTCAACACCGATTTTGTAGCGTAGCATTTCGTAGAAAATATTGTGGTGAAATTCAGAATTGATTGAGGATTCAGAAAATACAGTATAAGGCCAAAAATCTGTGTGTCCGTCATGCGTAGTGCGCACTGCCTGATGTGTAAAAATCAGTTGTTTGATAAGCAATGTGCATACATACATAGGTCCATGTACCTGTATTGCGCATTGCGCTATCCCTGCTGCGTTAAGACCAGTCATTGTGGGAATATGAGCTTTTACGTCGGTCAAGTGTGCAGAGAAATACGTACTCGTGGATTTTCAGAGTACGCATCGCGGATACGCAACTGGTATGCAAAATGCAATACGCACATCAAAAACGGACACATGGATTGTCAGCCTAAAGCCTATCAAATTTGGCCAGCAGTCTGGGCTATAGAGTAGGCAGTAGTGCTATATATTTGTAGATTTCGCCGTGGGTGCAGAGTCGAAAATGAAGGGAAAAGGATAAAAGCGTAAAGCCACGTCAGAATGAAGTGGCTACGGCTAATACATTAGTTGCTCCTATGGAAGCAGATGAAGCCACTTCCCATGTGGGCTAGTGTTAGCCGTAGCCATGTCATTCAGACATGGCTAATGCTCACTAACAGAAGGGTTAACCAGGGTTACTGGAAATTACATTCTCATATACAGTGGAACGTTGCTATACCAAACACCGCTATTTTGAAATATATTATCCCAGATTTCTAAAGCTCGGTAGTCATTTTTTTGAAAATCAAAACTGGATTAGAGTTCACTTTGTCATTTTGCAGTTTTGGTTTTGTTTTGGTTTTGATGCTAGCTTGTGCATGTTACTTCCTTTATTTTGTTTGGCATTTCATGTGAACGTCCTCATGAAACTTGCATGTTTTGTTTTTAAACATCCTGCTTGAAACACTAACAGCATGTCATAGAACAAACGTAGCCAGCTTTTTCACTTTGCCTGCATGTTTAAGCCTGCTGCTATGTTTTCTTGATTCGAGATTATCATTCCGTTTTCATTTCATTTTTTTCAGTTTATTTTAAGCACATCCAAATCAAGCAACAGTCCAAAGACCAAAAATGTCTGTTTTACTGGGTGATGAAATACGACAATTTATGTTATCAATAAAACCTCAACAATATTCAAAAAGAAAAGAAAATTGCTTTGGAAGATGATCAGATTGACCCCAAAATGGTAAACTTTAAGAGTGCTTTTAGTTTTAACATCAAAAGACATATTGTGTTACAAGTTTTAGAATGTAATTTGTAACTGTTGTAAATTATCGTGTCTACTAAAGAAGGACAATTACTGGCAAAGAGTTAATGTCGGTTGTAGTTGATTCTGTCAGAAATAACATGAATTTGTATATATGGAGGTATCATGAATATTCATTACATCTCATACATATTAATGAGCCTGTTTGCTCATTTTGTTGGTCAATATTCAATTGCATTGATGATGAAAAGAAATTGACCCAAATCATTTTTGTGTGGACTCAAACTCAGAAAAGTGTAAAAAGTGACTTTTTCCGAAGACAAAATTGAGAAAGTCTAAGTTTTAAATATGTGTGAGTTGTAATAAATACGGAACTTTGTTCTGCAGCTGATTTCACAAAAAACAGTGCGTAACTTACGCCATGCGTAGGACTTACGCAACAAACCTATTGCGCGGCCACGCAGTGAACTTACGATCGATTTCACGGAAGTTGGCGTACATGGGCCACGTTTTAAACAATCTAAACATCTTGGACGAGGATAATAACAGCATTTCATGGAAGAAATGTTTGTGTATGATTTGTTCGTTCATGAAGCAGTTGTTGAATCACTTCCGCCCGCCATTTTGTCCGTTTTTGTCCGTTTTTCCATTCATTCATGGAGGTGGGAAAGCGTTTATGTTTCATGGTATTTAATGGGTATTTATTTGTTTGTAGAATGATAAATGATCAGTGGTGGACAACTGAATTTTGGATCATTGTATCAAAATAGTCATTACTTGGGAATAGAGTATGCAAATTACGTGAAATTTTCACAGTTACTAGTCAATAACAAGTACTTTACCCCTATTTTTATTAAACAGAGCGAGCCACATAGTTTTTGAAATATGTTTCTAATTTGGTCACTTTCTTTATGACTCATTGTGTACATGGTGATGGATTAACTCTAACTCCCTAGTATGATGTACCAGGAACCATACCCATCCTGGCAAATTCCAACACCATATGGGAAACTGCTGACACATATTTCTGTCTTTGATTCTGGAGGTGTGCCAACCCAATGTAAAAGACTGTCAGTTTAAGGGTACTGTACCCATCCTGACAGATTCCCACTAAACATGCCGTTGGGGTTTGATGGGTTGAGTTCTGTTAGGGTTAATGCATGCTTGCATGATGCAGGAATTATACTTCATTTCCACACCAGGAAAATACTGGCATCTTGGATAATTCTGAGCCAATATGTCTGACTTTTGTTCTCATCAATCTTGTTTTTGTTTGTGTTGCAGGAAGCACAATTCCTGAAGAAGAAATCCAGTTTGCAGAAGAGAAGTTTCACGAATCTCAGGAGCTTGCTGAGAACGGGATGAGGAACCTCCTTGAGAGTGATGTAAGTACCTGACAAATCGGAGCAAAGATGAGCCAAGATGCACTAGAGCATCTTACTACTCAATCAGATACCACTCATTGAGTCTCAAGAACAACTTTTCACTTTGTATTTCTTCGCATTTATTTTGATATTTCTCTCAGTTCAACCATGGAAGAATAATTTACACCGACATTGTATGGGTGAAGAGATTGACGGTTTCCTTTTTAATTCTGTTGTGTAAGATATTCTTTAAATTGCCATGTAATTTAATTGTTTTAATGCAATCCTTGAAAATGCACCTTGATTTCTTTAACAGGTTGAGCAGGTGTTACAGCTTCAAGCGTTAGCCGAGGCTCAGCTAGAATACCACAAACAGTCTGCAGAGGTCTTGGAAAGCCTTCTCTCAACACTCAATGAAAGGTATGCCAACAGTGCTGGACTTGTGATGGACTTGTGACTGACTTGTGATTGACTTGTGATTGACTTGTGATGGACTTGTGATGACTTGTGATGGACTTGTAATAGAGTTGTGATGGACTTGTGACAGACTTGTGATGACTTGTGATGACTTGTGATAGACTTGTGATTGACTTGTGATGGACTTGTAATGGACTTGTAATATAGTTGTGATGGACTTGTGATGGACTTGTGATGACTTGTGATGGACTTGTGATGACTTGTGATGGACTTGTGCTGGACTTGTGATTGACTTGTGATGACTTGTGATGACTTGTGATGACTTGTGATGGACTTGTGATGGACTTGTCATTGACTTGTGATGGACTTGTGATGGACTTGTGATGACTTGTGATGGACTTGTGATGACTTGTGATGGACTTGTGCTGGACTTGTGATTGACTTGTGATGACTTGTGATGACTTGTGATGACTTGTGATGGACTTGTGATGGACTTGTGATTGACTTGTGATTGACTTGTGATGGACTTGTGATGACTTGTGATGGACTTGTAATAGAGTTGTGATGGACTTGTGACAGACTTGTGATGACTTGTGATGACTTGTGATGGACTTGTGATGACTTGTGATGGACTTGTCATTGACTTGTGATGACTTGTGATTGACTTGTGACTGACTTGTGACTGACTTGTGATTGACTTGTGATGAACTTGTCATTGAATGCCCTCAATTTGTTTGCTACAAGTATTGAAGCATTTTGTGGGCCGTGAACTTGAGGGTTTGTAAAACAAGAAGGGTCCATGCCGTGATGAGGACGAAATTTGGATGAAATTACCAGTAGGCCCAAAATTTGCTCTATTTTGCAATGGAGCATAGACATCGTTTTTCAAAATGGCGATGGACTTCAGGACTACTTTTGTGATATTTATTTCCAATTTCTCAGTACCTGTAACGGCAACGAAGGAACGCTGCAAGGCACTGTACGACTTTGAGGCAGAAAACGAGGGCGAACTGGGGTTTCAGGAGGGCGACATCATCAGCATCGTCAGTAAGATCGACGAGAATTGGATCGATGGAGAGTTAAACGGTCACACGGGATACTTCCCAGCTAACTACATTGTACGTGGAAATTATCTAACCGGTTTAACCATGGTAGGTGGTAGCGTTACTTATAGTGTTGCAGTTTGTACTTTGTCATCGTGTGGTTGAGTATGAGTGTGAGTTCTTCGCGATGAGTGCACGTACAAGTACTTTGTCATCCTGAGTTTGAGTACGAGTACGTTGCCATGGGCACAAGGACACATTGAAGTACTTCGTCATCATGAATTCAAATACAAATACGAGTACTTTGCCTTGAGTACTAGTACGAGTACGCATATTCTGGCTTGACAAGTATGAGTATGAGTACTTTGTCTGAGTATGAGTCATTTCTATCAGTATGAGTACTACAATACTGGTTACTCACAATGGAACTCTGTGTACAGTGAACAGATACATTGAATAGCGCCCTCTGGAGAGTGGTCCTGTGTATATCAGCATAATGTCAATAAGCCTTTTCGGAGTTCCAACTGCGCATTCGTAACCTGTGACAACGAACATTGTTTGTCTCAAATGCCCTTTGACAGTACCCACAATGCACAAACAGCCTTTTTGTAAAGTCAGTGGCGCGATGATGTCAAAGGCCATTTGAGACAAACAATGCGCGTTGTCACAGGTTACGATTGCACAGTTGGAACTCCGAAAAGGCTTATTGTGTACTTTTTTTTTTTTTTTTAATTCCATCATATTAAGCTATGTATTTCCATAGACGAGATCTCTTAATTGTTAGTTCTTTGTAAGCCTTGGCAGTCTGGTGTTTCTTTCTTGAAACAACTAAGAATATGTCTTCCCTTTGATTATACCAAATGAGAAATTACCGGTCTGTTGGTATTTAAAAGGACTAGGCATTATACAACTTGGAACTCTTGAAAAGTCCCCCAGATTCAGTGAATTCCAAATGATGTGGCTACGGCTAGGAAGTACAGGAGTCTATGGGAAGTGACCTCAGCCGCTTTCCATAGACGTGGCTACGGATAGGAAGTACAGGAGTCTATGGGAAGTGACCTCGGCCGCTTTCCATAGACGTGGCTACGGCTAGGAAGTACAGGAGTCTATGGGAAGTGACCTCGGCCGCTTTCCATAGACGTGGCTACGGCTAGGAAGTACAGGAGTCTATGGGAAGTGACCTCGGCCGCTTTCCATAGACGTGGCTACGGCTAGGAAGTACAGGAGTCTATGGGAAGTGACCTCAGCCGCTTTCCATAGACGTGGCTACGGCTAGGAAGTACAGGAGTCTATGGGAAGTGACCTCAGCCGCTTTCCATAGACGTGGCTATGGCTAGGAAGTACAGGAGTCTATGGGAAGTGACCTCCGCCGCTTTCCATAGACGTGGCTACGGCTAGGAAGTACAGGAGTCTATGGGAAGTGACCTCGGCCGCTTTCCATAGACGTGGCTACGGCTAGGAAGTACAGGAGTCTATGGGAAGTGACCTCAGCCGCTTTCCATAGACGTGTGTGTGATTGCAAGCCGTAGTCAAGTAATTTGAACACAGCCTTGATCAAGGCTTGCTCAAGAGTAGTCTGGTACCGTTTGCAGCACAATGGGGAAAATACTAGGTTGCCATCAGGAACTAGCATTTCCATTGACATGTAATTTGTTTGATACAGAACAAGGATAGCCGTGTCTGAATTACTCAGCTATGGCTCATGTGTAATATCAAGCCGTAGTCGTAGCCCAGTAATTCAGACATGGCTAATTATTCCAATTTTAAAGACGCTCCTTAACACACAGGAACTGAACAATTTAAGAATAATTTCTTGATATTATAATTCATTATATCATAATGATACAAATACTGAATGTTACATTACTTGAATATTATGTATAAATGGAGCTAAAATAATTCTTGCGTACCTTTTATCTATTTTATAACGGAAATCTTAACAAGCAACTGATCATTGTGGTGTTTGGTTTTTTTTTCAATCGTAGAGAAAATTAGAATTGTTTTCTGTTTCGGTAGACGTAGTTTATGTATCATATATAAATAAATAACCTATTTTTGTACAGAACTTAGCTGTGGAGAATGGTTCACACTACAATGTCTGATAGGGAAAAGAGTGGAAAAGTTATCATAGATGTCCAAATTTCAGAGATTATAGAGCAAACTTTTGAGTCGACTAGACAGGGTTGAACTTTGGGCATTTCATTTGAGAGTTGCCAGTTCAATCTTGCATTGATATGTTTGTCTTAATAAGAAAAGTACTTTATATTTTGGGTTGAAGCTAAAACTGTCTCAAGTCGAGATTGATGGTCTTTATTTTACTAGTATTTTCTTTTTTTACTTGTGTAGTTATCCCTGAACTTTATGTACAGTTGACACTCAATGTATAAAGGCAGTAGGGAAATCAATCCCTATTTTTCCTTTTCTGGATGGCATTTGTGAGAAACGTGCTAAACCCGAGATGAAAACCCAAGGTAGGAGTAATGGTACGCTTTTGGAAAGAATGCAGTATCCAGACGCTACTTCTTTGGCTATGCACAAAGTCTATGGAGAGTCTAAGACCACTTTCTAACAAAATTGGGCTCATGTTTCTCAGTCCCAGATTCATGTCTTTTCAACATTTTTGCAGTGACTAATGCATTGAGATAATATATGAGGAAAAAATGACATCAGGATGCAACAGTCTTTCCCATATTTCTCTCGGAGTGAAATTTCTTTTCTTTTCTTTACACCTGAGACTCTGACAGAGAAAAATCTATTCAAACTGTTTTTTTTTTTCAATCTAAGTGTATTTTTTTTCACTCTGAATGATCTGTTGCCTACTTTTAGTGGGTAACAGAGTGATTTGTCGGATTAAAAATAAGAATGTTTTTGCAGGTTTTCTGCAAGGTGTGCGTGTATAAGAGATCCCTAACTTGTAAGTTCCTAACAATTATGCATAACTACCCATGATGCATGTACCTTGATGTAAGTTCAGTCTGTCACAAGCCAATGTGGCCCATCAGGCTGGCATTTATCTCCAGTTTCAGTAGCATGAAACAAGAATATTTCTACTCCCCCTGGATGGGATGCTAGTCCATCTCAGGTTACTCCCCAGCTAATGCTGGAACCATTTATACTCCTGGGTGGAGAGAGGCAAGTGGGGTAAAGTGGCTTGCCCAAGGACACAGCATATGGCCAGCAGCTGGATTCAAACCCTAATGTGTCCTTCAACAAAAATCTGTTGAGATTTGTTGGGTTCCAATAATAATGTCAGTGACAGTTAAATCTTCTTTGTAAACATGTCCAATTTTTCATTCTCAAAGATTCATATAATTGTCAGCGCGGCTACGTAGTAAATAATTTTATACATGTGTACTTTACATGAATTGTCTCTTACATCAAAAATGTTACATAGTGACTTGAAACAATGAGAATCCAATGATTAGAAATTAATGTGTGGTCGACTAATTTGAGTGTTTATGTTTCATTTTAGTATTTTGTTGACTACTTCTTTTTCATGTTTTTATTTTATTTTATTTTTTCATTTGATGTGACCCTAATATGAAAATGAAAATTAAGAAAAGGAATTGTCCAGATTTTGTTTTCATGTTGTACATGGATTGGCTCGTCCCAATTTGACGCTGGTTTTGGAGGACTGTGTAATCGCTAACACTGGTTCTCGACTTCCTAGTCAGTTCATTGGTCAACTGCACCCTGTTGGATTTGAATGGGTTTTGGAAGCACATGTAAATATGCAAAGGTTTCAGAGAAAACCATCTGGAAACATTTTCATTTTGTAATTTTAATTATTGATTTTAATTTGTTGTATAATATTGAAAACTATTGGGTTTCTTCAGTTGAAAATTGATTAAACTTTGTGGATCATTACAAAGGAGAAATTCCCTTTATTTTTTTGAATTTCAAATCGAACTTGTAAATGGAAATAAATTCCATTGTAAATGGTGATCGTGGATGTAGCAAACCGAGTCATTAAGCCGCGCCCACTGCCATGTGAACA